CTGTGACTGGCCATTCACCGTTCTCGAGGCGTCTTGGCCTTCCTTCTCAGCTTCTGGACCAGTTCAGGCTCCGACGAAAAGATTCAGAATCTTATCGAGAGAGACTGCTCCCAGATCTCCGGGTGAGTGGAAGAGAGAGAGAGAGAGAGAGGGAGTGGAATAGAGAAGAGAGAGAGGGGGAGTGGAAGAGAGACACAAAGAGGAGGGAAGTGGAAAAAGAGGGAGAAAGAAAGGGAGTAGAGGAGGGAATTGTTCTGGCCAGTCTTAGGTCGCCTGCGAATGTCCCGTCGTTTCCAAGGAACGTCCCCAGACTGGAGTGACTCCAGCCCTAGCTTTAGTTGGATGCCGCAATGAAAGCGAATCGCACTCTCATGGTTCCCCAGAGAGGTGTGGTGGGGGTCCTTATGGTATCATAATCTAACTTCCTTTTCGGGCTCAAGTGACCTCCTTCCCTCAGCTGCGGTGACCTACTCGCTCGGGCTCGGTGACCTCCTTCGGGCTCAGTGACCGTCACTCTTCCGGGTTCGGTGACCTCCTCCTCGGGCTCGGGTGACCTTCCTTCTCGGGCTCGGTGACCTGCCTTCTCGGGCCGGTGACCTCGCTCCTCGGGGCTCGGTGACCTCCTCTCCGGGCTCGGTGACCTCCTTCTCTGGTTCGGTGACCTGCCTGTCTCCGGGCTCGGACCTCCTCCTTCGGGCTCGATGACCCTACTTTCTCAGGGCTTCGGTTTACCTATTCCTCGGGCTCGTGACCTCCTCCTCGGGCTCGGATTGACTCCTCCTCGGGCTCGGGTGACCTCCTCTTTCGGTCTCGGTGACCTCCTCCTCAGGGCCTCGGTGACCTCCTTCCTCTGGGCTCGGTGACCTACTTCTCTGGGCTCGGTGAACTCCTCCTCGGTCTCGGTGACCTCATCCTCGGGCTCGGTGACCTCCTCCGCTCGGGCTGGTGACCTGCCTCCTCGGGCTTGGTAACGCTCCTCCTGCGGGCTCGGTGAACCTCCTTCTCGGCTCGGTGACCTGCTCCCTCGGGCTCGGTGACCTCCTCCTCGGCTCAAGGTGACCTCCTCTCCGGGCTCGGTGAACCTCCTCCTCGGGCTCGGTGACCTCCTCCCTCGGCTCGGTTACTCTCCTCGGGTTCGGTGACCTCCTCCTCGGGCTCGGTGACCTCCTCCTCGGGCCTCGGTGAACCTTCCTCTCGGCTTGTAACGCTACTCCTCGGGCTCGGTGACCTTCTCGGGCTCGGTTGACCCCTCCTCGGGCTCGGTGACCTCCTCCTCGGGCTCGTGACCTCCTCCTCGGGCTCGGTGAATAGGTTACCTTCTCCTGCGGGTTCGGTGACCTCCTCGGGCCCCTTTTCCCGGGGTTTTTTTTTTTTTGAACCCCTCCCTTTCCCTCCAAAGGCCCCCCTCGGTGGGGAAAACCCTTCCTTCTCGGGCTCGGTGACCCTTCTCGGCTCGGTGACCTAACTTCTCGGCTCGGTGACCTCCTCGCTCGTCCTCGGTGACCTCCTCCTCGGGCTCGGTGGACCTCCTCCTCTTGGCTCGGTGACCTCTCGCTCGGCTCGTTACCTTCTCCTGGGTTCGGTGACCTCCTACGGAGCTCGGTGACCTCCTCCTGGGCTCGGTGACCTCCTCCTCGGGCTCGGTGACCTCCTCCTCGGGCTTGGTAACCTCCTCCTTGGTCTCGGTGACCTACTCCTCGGGCTCGGTGAGCTCCTCCTCAGGCTCGGTGACCTCCTCCTTGGGCTCGGTGACCTCCTCCTCGGGCTAGTGACCTCCTCCTCGGGCTCGGTGGCCTCCTTCTCGGGCTCGGTGGACCTCTCCCTCGGGCTCGGTGACCTCCTCCTCGGGTCGGTGACCTCCTCCTCGGCTCGTGACCTCCCTTCTCGGGCTCGGTAACCTCCCTTCCCTCGGGCTCAGTGACCTCCTCCTCGGTTTGGTGACTTTCCTCTCGGCTTTGGTGATTTCCTCCTGAGGCCGGTGACTTCCTCGGGCTCGGTGACCTTCCTCCTCGGGCTCGGTGACCTGCCTCCTCGGGGCTCGGTTGGACTTAACTCGGGCTCGGTGACCTCCTCCTCGGGCCGGTGACCTCCCTCCTCGGGCTCGGTGAACCTCCTCTCGGGCTCGGTGACCTCCTCTCGGGGCTTGGTGACTTCCTCTCGGGATTGGGTGACTTCCTCCTCGGCTCGGTGACTTCCTCGGCCTCGGGACCTCCCTCCTCCGGGCTCGGGTGACCTTACTTCCTCGGGCTCGGTGACCTCCTCCCTCGGGCTCGGTGACCTCCTCCTCGGGCTCGGTGACCTCCTTCCTCGGGTTGGTGACTTCCTCCTCGGGATTTTGGTGGGACCCCCCTTCCTCCCCCCTCCCCCCCTCGGGCTCGGTGACTTCCTCGGGCTCGGGACCTCCCTCCTCGGGCTCGGTGACCTCCTCCTCGGGCTAGGTGTCCTTCCTCCCTCGGGCTGGTGATCCTCCTCGGGTTCGGTGTCCTCCCCTCGGGCTCGGTGACCTCTCCTCGGGCTCGGTGACCTCCTCCTCGGTCGGTTGACCTCCTCTCGGCTCGGTGACCCTCCTCCCTCGGAACTTGGTGACTTCCTCCTGCGGCTCGTGACCTCCTCCTCGGCTCGGTGTCCTCCTCTCTCGGGGCTCGGTGACCTCCTCTCCGGGCTCGGTGACCTCCTCCTCGGGATCGGTGACCTCTTTCCTTCCGGGCTCGATGACCTCCTTCTCGGCCTCGGTGACCCTCCTCCTCGGGCCGGTGACCTCCTCTCGGGTCGGTGAACCTACCTCCTCAGGTTCGATGACCTCCTCCTCGGCCCTCGGTGACCTCCTCGGTGCTCGATGACCTACTCCTCGGGCTTCCGTGACCTCCTCCTCGGTCTCGTGACCTCCTTCTCAGGCTCAGTACCTCCTCGGGCTCGATGACCTCCTCCTCCGGGCTCGGTGACCTCCTCTCGGGCTCGTGACCTACTTCTCGGGATCGTGACCCTACTCTTCCGGGATCGGGTGACCTCCTCCTCGGGCTCGGTGACCCACTCTCGGGCTCCGGTGACCTCCTCCTCAGGCTCGGTGACCTCCATCCTTGGGCGTCGGTGGACCTCCTCCTCGGGCTCGGTGACCTCCTCCTCGGGCTCGGTGGCCTCCTTCTCGGGCTCGGTGACCTCCTCCTCGGGCTCGGTGACCTCCTCCTCGGGCTCGGTGACCTCCTTCTCGGGCTCGGTAACCTCCTCCTCGGGCTCAGTGACCTCCTCCTCGGGTTTGGTGACTTCCTCCTCGGGCTTGGTGACTTCCTCCTCGGGCTCGGTGACTTCCTCGGGCTCGGTGACCTCCTCCTCGGGCTCGGTGACCTCCTCCTCGGGCTCGGTGACCGTTCCTCGGGCTCGGTGACCTCCTCCTCGGGCCTCGGTGACCTCCTCGCTCGGCTCGGTGACCTCCTCCTCGGGCTCGGTGACCTCCTCGGCCTCTCGGGACCTCCTCGGGTGACTTCCTCCTCGGATTGGTGACTTCCTCCTCGGC